TACTATTTGCGAATAGTCAATAATATTCTAGGTCCATTTTATTGTTGTTTTTTCTATGCGCTATTATAACACATTTTCATCTCATCGTTTAATTTCTGTTGTGCATCTTTTGTTGTATAGAACTTCTTGATAAAAGAGTTAGCACAATGGATCACAGATAAAGTGTAATAAACGCTTTCGAATGGTTGACTATTCTTCTTCTTTGTTCTCCTGAAGAAGAATAGTCAACTATTCGAAAGCGCTCGAGTTTTGGGTCTTATTTTAAGTTTATTGTCGTATAGAAGATGATTCATCAGGTGGAAAACGAATAGATAGATAGATAAACCGATATGTGGCGCCATCTAGTGTACGTAAATTCATCTAGAATTTTTCATAAAAGTGACCCGAAAAACGGGGCTAACTCAGTAACCCGTGGCCCGATTTTATTTAAAATTTATTTTAAAATGAAAACATATAGAAATAAAACAAGACTCCAACTGTTATTGATTGATTTCTGTACAAAAGTACTTGATTTATACATTTAGAATTTTATTGTTTATTTCTTTCAGATATTCGCGCAAAGTTATTAAAGGATTGTTTGAGCTAGCCGTCCATTTGTAAATTTATTTATTTTTCCTGTCTCAAGATTGTCCACAATTTTGTTATTGTTCTTGCTCGCCCTCCAGTGGCACAGCGGTATATCTACGGACTTACAATGCTAGAAACCGGGTATTTGAATAAATTAATTTATTAGACCTTTTCTTCCCCTCTTTTTATTAACTATATTTTTTGTGCGCCAGCAACACCAAGCGTGGGTCGCGCGTATACCCGAAAAGAGAAAAAGTGGCTATTGAACATCACCCTCCGCCAACTCTTGGGCTACTCTACTTGATTAGTGGGAATTGCTTAACATTCTTACGAAGCGTCCACGCCCCAAATAACGGTTTCTTCCTCTTTTGTTTTTTAGGTTACGGAACGCGAATCAAAAACCCTCCATAGTCCAGCAAACTGACCGCTAGGTCAACATTCAGAAACAGATGCTAGATTCCTTTATCATAAACCACGATAGTGGTTCATAGTAGAAATCGCAAGGAATTTCACAAAACCCTAATAGAACGTTCGGGCAAAAAGCACCTCAAACAGTGAAGATTCAGTTCAAACGACACTTTAAAACCTTTACTATTGACTGCTAAGGCTGAACACATATAAAAATGCAGAGAAAAGGCGAGAATGTTAGGCTTAGAAGGAAAAGAAAATCCGCTCAAAATGGCCCGTTTGTAATTCCTCTTATTCTCTTACCAGACTACAAAAAACAACAACAACAACAACAAAAAAACAGATTGGTATATTACACCCAAACCTTTTGTAGAATACTAAATAAGGTACTGCGAAGGTCGTAGGGGTGTTGAAAAGTCGATTTGTGTTTTCCATATTTTACATAAGATAAAAAAAAACATCATAATTCTAGTGTCAACGATGTTATCATTAACCATTGAAGTTAGCTTCCGAATAGTAATAAAATATTCTGTCAATCTATTTAAAATAACTTACGATTTATTAGGTTTGATTGTACTTTGAATATTATCGTTAGAAGCTTAAAAAGGCATAACGAAAACGTTCTTATCGAAAGTTATTTAAATAACTGTTGCAATAAATAGTAAAAAAAAATATCGACACATTAATAGGCGAATTCGGCTTTATTTATTTCATCGTTACGAACGCGGTGTTCCAATTCATGTTAAGAAACACAGACTGTATCAAGAGTCAGGTTTAAAACATTGGCTTAAAAACTGAGTCAGCAAGTTGTAGTTCTACGGCCAAGTTCAAGCGAGCAAGTCTCTCATTGGTCAACAGACTCGAGAATCTGTATCTCAGAGATTCTCGAGCCAATCAGGAGGATACGCTGTGTAACAATACGTCTATTATCATAACAACAATATAAGAAGCATTAGCCAACTTTGATAAGTAATTATACCTATATTTGATACCAAAACAACAATATAAAACACACATGAAACTACTATTATTAAAACACGATCAACCAAATGACACCGTACTTGTTCTGCACAAAAAGAATTGTAAAAAACTTATACCACAATAGAAACCTGAGATCAACAATTTAAAGCCGATTACAAAGGGATCTCTAAACCCAAGTCATATGAGTTTAAATATTTAATTTTTTCTCATGGGTCAGTTCAGTTCTTCCCAGTTCACTTTTATTGTTTATTTATATGTATTCTGTTTCTCAACATTCAGAAAAAAAAAAAAAAAACACAACAAACTATCAAAATATACAGCCAGTGAATAATGGAAATATAGCTTAGTCTCCATGGAAACACTAAATGTAAAATGGGTAATACGGGTTAGTCTTCATGGAAATAGCATCTGGAAAATGTGTAATACGGGTTAGTCTCCATGGAAATAGCATCTTGAAAATGTGCAATACGGGTTAATCTCCATGGAAATAGCATCTTGAAAATGTGCAATACTGGTTAGTCTCCATGGAAATAACAACTGGAAAATGTGCAATACGGGTTAGTCTCCACGGAAATAGCATCTTGAAAATGTGCAATACGGGTTAGTCTCCATGGAAATAGCATCTTCAAAATGTGCAATATGGGTTAGTCTCCATGGAAATAGCATCTTCAAAATGTGCAATACGGGTTAATCTCCATGGAAATAGCATCTTGAAAATGTGCAATACGGGTTAATCTCCATGGAAATAGCATCTTGAAAATGTGCAATACGGGTTAGTCTCCATGGAAATAGCATCTTGAAAATGTGTTAATACGGGTTAGTCTCCATGGAAATAGCATCTTCAAAATGTGCAATATGGGTTAGTCTCCATGGAAATAGCATCTTGAAAATGTGTAATACGGGTTAGTCTCCATGGAA